GCGTGTGTGTGTGATTGAGTGTGAGTGAGTGTGTGTGTGTGTGAGAGAGAGACACTGTGAGGACCAAATGTCTCCAGAAGAGTAAACGTACTAAATATTCTATTTTACATGTAAAGAAAAAACATTTTTGTGGTGTTTTGGTGGTTGGGATGGACAATAAAAATAGAACATCCTCAAAAAGACATTAAAGCCGTGCATGTGTTTGTTCAGAGGATCTGGCGGAGGAGCTGGAGGACATAGATTTCTCTGAGGCTGGGAATGCTGGGAATGCGGATGATGACGGATGGGAGACGGAGGATGAGATGGAGTCTGAGCAGGATGACAGTGAACTCACCTTCTCCAAACACACGGGTGACTCCTCACACCTCAGCATCTGTGAGAAATGCTTCGTCTTTCATTAGCTCTTACTGAACGCTGTTTTTGATTCGCAGGTTCTGTCTTTTGTGTCAGTTTGGACCCAGTGAGCAACAGTCTCGCTGTCACCGGCGGAGAGGACGACAGGGCATTCGTGTGGAGCGTGTCTGATGGAGACGTGCTGCTTGAATGCACTGGTCTGTAGAAGACAAGCGTGAGCAGATCGTTCGTTGTTTATACGCTCTGTGTCCATCAGCACAAACCTCTCTGATTCACGGTGATTCTCTCTGATTCACGGCAGGTCACAAGGATTCTGTCACATGTGCTGCGTTCAGCTGCGACTCCAAGCTGGTGGTGTCTGCTGATATGAGCGGTCTCATTAAGGTCTGGAAAGTGGAGAACAAGGAGGAAATCTGGTCTTTTGAGGTTGGAGACCTGGAAGTAAGTTAGAAGCCCGTCGCTCTGCTTGCGTTACTGGTGTTTGTGGACAGTATTTGAAGCGTGTCTCGCGCTGCAGTGGTTGGAGTGGCACCCCTGCGCTCCGGTCCTGCTGGCCGGAACGGCTGATGGGAACGTCTGGATGTGGAAGATCCCGAGCGGAGAGTGCAAGACCTTTCAAGGGCCCAGCTGCCAGGCGACCAGCGGGAAGATCCTTCCTGACGGTGAGAGCTGAGACTAGCAGAAGACTCTGAGCTACTGACTGTCTGTTGTTCTGTCTTCTAAGTGTCTGTCTGTCTTACAGGAAAGAGAGCAATCGTGGGCTACGAGGATGGAAGTTTACGTCTGTGGGACTTAAAACAAGGCAATGCCGTTTATGTCATCAAAGGTAATTCATCCTCCACGTATCACTGGCTTTCCTCCGAGGGTCACTGGTGCCGTTTCGGGGGGCATTATTTACTCACCCTCATGTTGTCTCAAACCTGTACAGCACAAAGGGTTCAGATTGTTTGGTTTTTTCTCCCCTAGTGTTTGCTTTGTCAAGTCACTGGAGTCCAGTGTTGTTTTCTATCCTGTGGACAAAAGCAGTCTCAAAATAATCTCTTTTGTGTCATAGGTTTGAAACTAGTTTAAAGCTCTTACTGTCAATTAAGTGTTCAGCCATTTGAGATGTTTTGACCACAGTAGTCACAGTTATGGGTGGAGCTGCTTTCACACAATCTCTATTGTATAAAGCGCTATATAAATAAAGGTGATTTGAATTGACTTGATGATTATACCAGTAGATGTGATAAACTGGTAGAAATTTGTCAACTGGTAGAGATTTTGAAAGATCATCTCTATCGCGCTTATGTTCACGTGATGTTGTAGTGCTGTGCCATCACAAAAGTTTCTAATTTGCAATAATTTTTCCATTCAAGCACAATAAGCAGTGAAAAAGATCTCAGATTGGTGCTCTCTCGCCGTCTAATCGCACACAACTCAAATAAAGCTGCCGGTCACACATCGTGAGTGAACTTTGTGTCACATTCTGGCAGCTAAATGCGCTTGAATGGACAAATTCACACACCTGTCAAAATGCTCTTCTTGGTGAGTGTTCATGTAAATGCAGTCGATTATGTTTTAGTTTTTTTGTAGTCTCAAAAAGTGGTGATGCAAATTATGAAATGTCAATTATATGATTTTTGTCATTGTCCACTCCTAGTGACAGTGATAATAAAGTGGGACACGCAGGATTCTGTGGTTTGCAGAAAGCTATTCAGGTTGTTTGTGCTGCAGGGCAGATGCTGGCCTGAAAGCTGTGTTTGGTTGGGTTGTTCTGTTTCAACACTTTTGAGTGTTTGACCTCGATGAAAGCACAGTATGTGAGATAATGACACAATCACATAGGGAGAAAATAAGAAAAAAGTAGTTTATTACATAGAGTTATTGACCCTGTCATCAGAAAAGTTCAGTGCTACAGAAGAGACTGTGGCTGTTGTTTTCTCAGGTCATGATGGTCATCAGGGAGCGCTGACCTCTATAGCGTGTAATAAAGAGGGAACGCTGGCTCTGACGGGGTCAGTGGATGGTCAGGCTAAACTCTTCAACACATCCACAGGGAAGGTGAGTAGAGTTACGGCTGTGCTGCATCAGTGTTTTACCTGTGACACTGTATTGCTATTTTTATGTGTTATTTAATAGATCAGGGAAGCGTGTGACTGTCAGACGCACAAGTGTTTCAGCAGTTTCTCTGAGCTGATGCTGTTGTAGTGTTATAAAAACACTGATAAGTGTTCTCCATTTTCCTTAATGTAGTTTATGAATTTTATGCTACACTTTAAATGCTTTGTTACATTTTCCACCCAACACATTAGCAATTAATCAGTTAAATGTTCACACAATGACTTGTCAAATATGTATTTTTTGTATTATGATTGGGCCTGAAGCGAGATCTGGATGTTTCCAGCAGCACTGTGACGAGTGTCCAGTTACAGTTTAGTGTTCATTTCTAAGCACTGGACGTCGATGTGATCTGATGTACATCATCACTTGAACACCGCCATAAAGCTTAATGTGTGATGCTAGAAATGTGATTTATTTATTTTTTATTTAGGTGTTATGCTCATTGTCCAATGAAAACAGTGAAGCTAAAGACTCTATGCAGGAGCAGGATTCCAGCTCTGTAGAATCTGTGGGATTTTGTAATGTGTAAGTAAAGCAAATAGTCTATTAATGTAATATATATATATATATATATATATAAATGATCTATCAAAACAAATCATTTTCATTAAGGCATCAGTATTTAGTAGCGTTTTGATGTGCTGTAAGCCCCTCCATGATTATAAGCTGCTGGTCCGATTTCTCCACTAACTTCACTGATCGCACACAGTCACAGCCAATGCTGCTCTACAAGCAGGAGGAGCTGTTTTTAAAATTTTTACAAAATATATTTATGTGTTAGTATTGTATAAAGTGCTATATAAATCTAGGTGTCTTGACTTTCAGGTTACCCCTAGTTGCTGTTGCATATCTGGACGGCACCCTGGCCATTTATGATATGAATTCACAGAGCCTCAGACATCGGTGTAAACATGAGGTAAAAACTTAGACTCTATAAATACGGAACCTGAATGTCTTCTCTCATATCATCTGTGTGTTGTTGAAGGGCTTGATAAGTGTGTGTGTCTGTCTGTGTGTCTGTGTGTGAGTGTGTCTGTGTGTCTGTCTGTGTGTCTATGTGTCTGTGTGTGTGTGTCTGTGTGTGTCTGTGTGTGTCTGTGTGTGCACCTGCAGTGGGAGGAAGCGTCTGCAGTCGTCTACACCTGTAACCTCGCTGGTGTGGTCACTCTGTGGGACGCGAGGTCAGGAGTCATGATGTCAGAGTACCGCGGACACTCGGCTGAGATCCTTGACTTTGTGCTGAACAGGTTAGTCTGTTAAACCAAGAGTTCTCTAGGTTAATGTTCCATACATTAACAGTTTTATATTTCCATTATAAAACTTTTGAATTGATTTGTTTATTTTGGGCTTGTTCTTATTGTTTCCTGTTTTTCTACCAAGATCTTGCAACACGAGTGAGGCAAGACTTGTAATCATGACACAACTCAGATGTGTGTTTAAATACACCATTAACAGCCAGCTGTTCGCGTCGGTTCCACACGCACCGCATATCATTTCTGTCAATGCATTTGTCACTGCCTAAATGTTTTGGGAGTCACTTTGGTTGTAGAATGCGGTCGTCACTCCTGTAAATGACTGAGCAGTGTGTGTACAGAACAAGATTTAGCACTAAACGGTGAATTGACATCCGAATGTAGCTGCAGAGTGTGTGTGGCCATAGAGTCAGCATCATTTATTTTGTAACCGTTTACTTTGACATTGGTTTCTGTGTTGTGATTGTCTGAAACCTGTAACAAGTGGAGAATCGAACAGAGCTTTGCAATCTTCCTTCATGAGTATCATATACACCAGATCACTTCAATCTGCTCTGCTTTCATTTTTCAAAAAGCAACGATTATGTTAAATAGAAAGTTCACCCAAACATGTAAAATCTGTCATCATTTGCTCAACCTCATGTCATATCAAGCTTTCAATCGTCATAAAAACAAACATGAGGGTTTTTATTCATAAAAGTTAGTCAGGATTTGTCCATAAAATTTTAATGAATGGTTAAACATGCTTTGTTGTCCTGATGCGTTCTCTCTCTATCATGGGTAAACATTAATTTGTGCTGTTTCTTTTCCATACGTTGTCTTGTTGTGTCTGTGTTCACAGAGACGCGTCAGTCGCCGTCACCGCCGGAGGAGACCATCAAGCCAAAGTGTTCTGCCTGCAGAGACCCGACCGGTAGAGAACGTCTTCATCTGGATCCCATTAGACTTCAGCAACTGCAATACACACTGTCACCTGTAAACTGCAGCTTTTTAAAGTTTTAACAGAGCTGTGCTGTTCTGTCTTTGTCATTCTTGTCATGACTGTGTAAGTCTGACAGAGCGATTGTTCTTGTCTTTTGCTTAGGCTACATACAGCTGTAATTGGGATGTCGCATACATTATATGGCCAAAATTATGTGGGTTTTATCTGTTCTAGGATTGTTTATAAAGACAAATCTCAGTGCTTCACCATACAGTTACATTCTCGAGAAATGCGTGCCAGACGTTGATGCAGTCTGTTGCAGCGCTGTCATGCTGAAGTAGAAAACGACCTTCCACAAACTCTGAAGCACATGTTTCTATAGAGTGGCACTGTATGGTGAAGCATTGAGGTTTGTCCTCACAGAAATGACTGAAATAATTACACTCATTAATCAGAATGGAATGTCTACACTCGTTTGGCCATGCAGAGTATATAAAATTCAGTTCCAATAAGTTCTTGGTAAAAATGCACACTTAATCATAGGTTCAGATTTCTAAACCATTCAACTGGATGCTGGTCAAGGAACAGCTTTTGTCATTCTTCTCCAAGCATTAGCTGTAAATCATTAGCAGTGACACAAATTCCCAACTGCCTGTGGACTGTCTTGGCAAAAGTTCAGTGCTGAATGAATGGCCATACGTTCTGTTGTGTTTAATCAATGTCATGTTGAAACAACATGAGTGCTGTCAACCTTAATTTTCTTCCTTTGTAACAAGTTACAAGAATGTTTGAAATGTGATGTGTGAATAAACACCAGTGACGTTAAACCAGCTGAGAGGTTGAATGTTTTCCAGTGAATCCGCTCCAGGGGCTCGTCCCAATACTTCTGGCCTTTGCACTTTTCACTTGAAGACAGGGTCAGAAATTAACGGGGTTTGGGGCAAAAATGCCATGAAAAAAAAACATTTAAGATAGAAGAGCAAAAAATGCTCCTGCACAAATAAACTAAATCATTAAGGCTGTTGTGATTAAAATGAAATGTGAAAAGTGTCAATGGCAGATATGCTCAGGTTGCATCATATTTATTTATTTATTTTTTTGCAGTGCTGAGCATTATAACCAATCACACTATTTCTGATTAGCTTATAAATGCAATTAAAAAAAAAAGTGTCGACAGTTTGTGTGATTGTAAAGGGAGTGCTTGCCTCAGTCCCATCACTGACTGTGATCCTGGTTAAAGAGGGCTTGAAGAACACAAGTGCATGCAGAACTTTTGATTATCTGATGGGATAAATATAGTGTGGTGAAAATGCAAGTAAAGTTTGAACAGTTTTGTTTACAAGTTTTGATTTTTAATTCCTGTAAAATTCAAAATGTAAAATTGAATTCCTGTAAAATAAAAAAAATAAAAAAATTAAATTTCCTGTAAAAAAAAAAGTTTTCTTGACATTGCATGAATGAATGAAGGGATGCGCATCAGCCCCAAATTAAGCACTAAAGCGCTATTAGAGAAAGTGTGGATTTAGTGCGCATTATTAAGGGCACTGAGCTTCGGCAGTTACCAGACCTGGGTCAGTCTTACATACACTGAACAAAATTATAAACGCAACACTTTTGTTTTTGCCCCCATTTTTCATGAGCTGAACTCAAAGATCTAAGACTTTTTCTATGTACACAAAAGGCCTATTTCTCTCAAATATTGTTCACAAATCTGTCTAAATCTGTGTTAGTGAGCACTTCTCCTTTGCCGAGATAATCCATCCACCTCACAGGTGTGGCATATCAAGATGCTGATTAGACAGCATGATTATTGCACAGGTGTGCCTTAGGCTGGCCACAATAAAAGGCCACTCTAAAATGGGCAGTTTTACTGTATTGGGGGGTCCGGGGGGGTCCGAAAACCAGTCAGTATCTGGTAAGTATTTATAATTATAGGGTTAGGGTATTTATAGGGTTATTGTTAAATTCATCCTCTAAACTGCACTTCCAGTAAAAATTCCTGTCATATAGCATAATCAAAGCTTTATTGGCATGTCGGGCATTTACAGTATAGGCTATTATTTACAAAACTCTTCAAGGCTGCGTTTCCCAAAAGCATCGTAAGCCAAATGATGACAATGGTTCTTCAATCGATTTAGGCTTAAGATGCTTTTGGGAAATGCAGCCCTGAACGTTAAGTAAAGAGATCGAAATGAAGGTAAAAAAAAATCAAATACATAACAACGAATATAAAAATATTACCAATAATAATAATAATAATAATAACAATAAAATACATGGACTTACAAGACTTGTGGGATGGATAAAAAAAAATTATTGTAGGCCTATTTTATTTTATGTAATTTTTTTAACATTTATTCATAAACTTTATTCGAATGTTGTCTAAATCGCGTGCAACACAGTCCCGTAGCCTAGGACTATGGTTAACACTTAAACCACCAGAGGTCGCTGTATACCTAAAAGCGCCAGCGGGTTAAATTTACCCATGCACATGACTACTGTTTTGATATGGCTAAAAAACCTATGTCACCGTATTATGTCACTGTCTTCACAATGTCTAGAGTCATAAAATGGTTATTTTTTAGTCATCAACTATGTTTTTTTCCTGTTGTTTTAAGTTCACGGCTATTTTTAAGCAGGTTACACTAATCACTTTTCTTAATGGTGAATATAAACCAGCCTGCAATGACAACGAGAATTACAAGGAAATAAATACATATTTGGGTGGTGTAATATTATAATAAAATGTTAAATGTTTTAAGATGTTTTTTAAATTACTAAAATACCCTAAATAGACTATAATAAGCCATAATAATTCACCATTCACCACGTATGCACTAGGATGTATGATACAACGACAAATTCAATCGAAGTGTCAGTTTCACCTAATCAATTATTTATTTGTTTAGTTATATAATTTCTAATTTGAATAAGAAATAAGAGAACAACACCAATAAACTTGGGGTAATCATAAAAAAATTGTATTCATTACATCATAATTCTGATTTTTTTTTTCAGGAATAAATAGCTAAAATAGCTAAGAGAGAACAATAAACGACAAAAAAAATTTGCAAAACAAAAATGAATAATTAATCCAAAGTCTCCAAAGTCATGAGTTGGCTAAAACATCTTAATTTGAACGTGCGTTGTGTGACTGTTTGCAGTAAGCTAACACGTTGCTCAATGACAGCGCGACAATAAAGGAATTATATGCGTAAATTTGACTCGATGGCGCTTATAGTTATAAATGCCCAGCTTTTATTCTGGTTTTATCTAAACAATTTTTTTAACAACACGGGATTGTAAATAACACAATTTTAGTAAAAGTCAATGACTGTGAGACTTGGATATTCTTTATTGAAAACATATTATGTAGCCTACATTTGAAAAACAGCCATGGGTAAAATGACCCCGTGGCAGTTCTAGTGTTAATATAATAATTTAATAATGTAATAATTTTT